GTCTCGTCTGAGTTTTCCTCTGTAGGAATCTTGGAAAAGTATAGCTTACGTCCCATGACCGGGATCGTCGCTTCCACTCCTGGTGGCAAGGCTAGTGAAGTTGCCAAAGAGGCTAAGGCATCAGCATATGCATTCTGAGCTCTTGGCACATATTCAATAAAGAAGCCTTCAAACTTTTGAGCTTGCTCTAGCACCGCGAAGTAATACGGAATCAAATCCTCATGACGTACTTCGTACTCTCCTCGGACTTGATTAACGATGAGCTGAGAATCACCGTAAGCCTCAAGGTGCTGAACATTAAGTTCTTCAGCACATTGCATTCCTAATAGCAGAGCATTATACTCGGCTACATTGTTGGTGCATGGTTCGATTAAAGAGAATCCCCTTGGGATTACGTGGCCGTTCGGAGAGATTAACACTACTCCTACTCCCGCAGTGATTGCTCCATGAGGATTTGCTCTGGATGCACCGTCGAAGAATAGCTTCCACACTTGCGTAGCTTCTTGGGTAGCGCAAGCTTCAGCAACCTCGTCAGATAATTCCTCGTACAACTTAGATGCTCCTGATACTGGATGATCGGCTAAGAAGTCTGCCAGTGCTTCGCCCTTGACCGCCTTTTGAGGCATGAACTGCATGTCGTATTGCGACAAGAGAATGGCCCATTTTGCAAGCCGGCAATTTAGAGATGATGGTTTTGTCATCAGAACTCTCAAAGGATTTACCTTAGAGATGACCTGAATGGTCTGTCCAACTAGGTAATGTCGCATCTTTTGGATTGCGAATACCAAGGCGAGACACTCTTTTTCGACCGGATTGTACCGATGTTCGGCTCCCATCATAGTCCTGCTCAGGTAATAGATGGCTTGCTCTTGACCTTGATCATTGTTCTGAGCTAACAAAGCACCAAGAGAATGATCCATGGCCCTCACATATAACAGGAATGGTTTTCCTGATATCGGGGCCACGAGAACTGGCGGTTGAGTGAGATATTTTTTAATCTCCTCGAATGCTCTTTGACACTCAGCATCCCAAACAAAGGATATTCCTTTCTTCATGAGCTTAGAGAAAGGTTGGCAGCGCCCTGAAAGATTTGATATGAATCTTCGAATGTAGGCCAGTCTGCCTTGCAAACCTCTGAGCTCTTTGAGATTCTTCGGAGGTGGCATGTCTTGGATGGCACGCACTTTTTCTGGGTCAAGAGAGATTCCCTTGGAAGTAACGATAAATCCCAGGAATTTTCCACTTGAAACTCCGAGGAACGATTTTGTCGGGTTCATCTTCAGCTGATGTGCTCGCATGATTTCGAACATTGTCTTCAGATCTGCAAGATGATCGTCTTTACATTGGCTCTTTACTGCTATGTCATCAACGTAGCACTCGATCTTCTTTCGTAGGTGTTCGTGAAAGATTGTGTTCATTGCACGTTGATAAGTTGCACCTGCATTTTTCAGGCCGAAGGGCATCACTGTGTAGCAATACACCCCCAGTGGTGTTCTAAAAGCAGTATGTTTTTCATCGTCCGGGTGCATCTTTATCTGATTGTACCCAGAGAATCCGTCCATGAAAGACATCCTTTCATATCCGCAGGTGTTGTCAATCATAACATCCGTGATGGGGAGTGGGAATTCATCTTTCGGACAGGCGGCATTGAGATCGCGGAAATCGATACATATCCGGACTTTACCGTTCTTCTTAGGAACTGGGACGATGTTGGCCACCCAGTCAGGGTGTTGTTCTTCCCTAACAAAACCTGAGTCTATAAGCTTTTTAACTTCTGACTCAATTGATTCCATGATCTCTGGACGAAACCTGCGTTGTTGTTGTTTAACGGGTTTTACATCCGGATCGATGTTGAGACGGTGCATGGCCACCTTCGGGTCAAGACCAGGCATATCTTCATAATTCCAAGCGAAGACATCTATATATTCTCGGATGAGAGATATAAGGTCTTCCTTCTCGGATGATGATAGGTCTTCAGCTATAAAGATAGGCTTGGGGTCAGACTCATTTCCCATGTTGACCTGGATCACCTTATCTTCAGTGGGTGGTTCGCGTTGTTCGAAACGCATATCCCACAGGATGTTAAGACGTTTGATCCAAGGATCGTTAGTCGACTCAATTAACTCTTCGTCACCCCCTGCATCTTCATCAGGGTGACTAGTTGAAACCATGTTCACAGTCAAACCTTTAAAGAAAGGTCCGACACTGACGTCGGATTCCCAGGAAGAGGTTCCGGACGAATGATCTTGACGCAGATAATTACTGATCTCATTTTCTGAGGCAGAGGGAGTTGTGACATAACCTAAACCTCTTCCGGTTTTATTGTAATAATCCTGAGGTTTTCCTTCAGGGGCTAGAGACATTCGGACTGGGGTTCGTCTGCCCTTCCCGAAGTTCAGACCCTGTTTTTCATTAAAGTTATACCCCATTCGTTTCATTAAGTCTATAGAATTGGGTTCATGGTAATGAAATTGGGGAACTCCGTCGTCTTCCTCTGAACTTCCTCGTTTGAGTTGTTCGGGTTTGACTTTACCAAAACAGATCGGCTTCTGCCCTTTCCTTTTGGATGGGACTTTGAAGAAAGCCTTCTGTACATCTTCTGCTTCTTCATCTGAAGCAAAGAAAGATTCGATTGGCAATGTAAGTGATGCCTCTGTGCACATTGTGTGCCATGGGTTGGTACCTGCATTAGAATCATTCTCTACTGATTTATTTTTAGAGGACACATCAGGCAAGTACTCCAAAAGAAAATCTTCATTAATGCACCATTCACCCTCGCTCGGTACATTATTACTACTCTCATCCTGACCCATTACATCTAAGTTCAGTTCCCATGGACAATCTTCCTCAGGATCTGGTTCGACATCTGCTTCATTGCCACTGTCAACATCTTGAGATTCTAAGTAGAAAACAGAGTCAGTGTGGAAGTTCTCCACTCCTCGGAAAGGGTATTTTTCCGCAATCAAGGTTCGAACTTCACCCTCGTCATTGGCGTACTTCATGACCTGATGCAAGGTAGATGGGACAATGCGGTTTGCATGTATCCATGGTCGTCCTAGCAAAAGATTATAGGACGTGTCCGCATCTATGATGTAGCATGCGACCTCAGACTTGAGATCTCCAATCTGGCATCTGAGCTTGATTTTCCCCAAGGGTCGAGTACTGTTTGCATTGAACCCGAAGATGGTGGTTTGGGTAGTGTGCAACCTGTGCATAGGGATTCCTAAGACCTGCATGACCCTATAAGGCATGATGCTGAGCGCGGAGCCCGGGTCAACTTGGACACGACTGATTTCGGAAGATCCGATATACCCTGTGTAGTACAACGGTCTGTCGTGTTGGTGTTTGACCTGCATGTCTTCTTGAGTAAATGATATGCAGGGTAAACTTCTCGATGCTTGCAGACATTGTCGACAAGTTTGATCTTCAGAAGCTTCGCCAGAACCATTCATCAGGAGGAGTTAGAGAACCCCACTCACTCCACAAACTCTCTCATAAGCCCCTACTTGATAATTCACATCAACACTTGGTGTTGCAATAAAGAGTATGGAGTTGTTGCATACAACCAAATATTTAACATTAATATTTAGACAAGAGAATCTAGATATATGGTTTGAGCGAAGGATGATGATTATATAGCCTTGGTTTGGTAGGATGGAAGGTGAGGGGAGAGGAGGGTCAAAATTTAGATTTACCTTCAGTAGGGAGTTTTTAGAGGGAGAGATAGAGTGAGAGGAGGGGATGAGAGAGAGGGGATACCACATAATGAACTAAAAAGCTAGAGAGAGAAGTATCCCTCAAAATTAGAAGGATTCAATGAGATAGAGAAAATAAACTACAAAAGTATGCATATCTCCTCCCATCCCCTCCAGCCAAATATATAGGGTTAAAGGGATGTCAATCCCTCCGCATCATTGCATCTCCCCTTAACTCACCTTTCCTCCTTAAAACCCCTACCAAATCAAGCCATAGGGATTGATGTAGGGAGCGAGAGGCTTCTTAGAAAAGATTTCACTTAACACCTCATCTAGTTCCAATGCTCCAATAACTCAGCAACAAATGTTCACACGTCACAAGCAAACATGTCGGGAAGCGTGGAGCCGGATCCTAGATGAAGCCTCTCCGACATTAAGGGAGTGTTTATTAACTCTCTAAAATTAGATCAGTTTTGGACTTGGTTCATTTAGAGAGATTTTTTTATTGGCTAAAACTGGGCCATTCTTGGCCTAGTTTGTTTCAACTCATATTTTGGATCATAAACAAATGTAGTTATGGATTAAGGGGAGCTAGTCCATAAGAAAACTTGTTCTATTTAGAACTAATCTTTAAGCCCACCTTGTCCCATTTTACATGAATTGCCAAACGCACCGTAATAAGTGATTTCAATATAAAAGATTTAAAGTTAAAAGGGTTAATGTAGAACCAAAGACTTGATCTATGAAAAAGTAATATGAGTTCTCATCATATTTATTTAGAATGATACATGAAAATAGCTTGTTAGATACTTTTGAGAAAGTGTTTCTTGTGCTGTGACGCAAAAGTAAACAATTCATCAAGTACAATGCAATAAGCGGCTTAATAGAGTGTCTACATATTGTTGACTTCATCAATTATCAAGCTTTGGCAGAGAAATGATGTCAGGCAATGATTGAGCCAAGACATCAATTATGCAAAGATAATTTTTTTTTTAACTGTAGTGTCATGTAAATGCTGGTTATATCTATATTAAGACCGGATGACAGGAGTTAGGCCTTAGGCTAAGTACAAGATGCCAAAGAACAGTATTCTAACCCTTCTAATAAAATATTGACTCAGAGTCGACGCGTATTGATATTGGTCATGACAAATGATTTGAAGATAACCACTTCTAAATGACACCGCCCACTCAAAAAAAAAAAAAAATGGTGGTCTATTCCAATTGAACCCGAATCCACTAGAAACTATCATTTTCGGGTTTGGGCTTAAATCGAACCCGTTAGCACACCCGCCCGCAAAAAAAAGCCAGTCCCTCCCTCTCTTTCCTCGTTTTCTCTCTCTAGGGCACGGACACTGTGTCTCCGATCTCTTCGATTCCTCCATCGGCAAACTCCGGCGAAATCTCCGGCGATGGCGCGCGAAATCTCAGATGTAAGCTCCCCTTCAACTCTCTATCACTTCAGGATCCAATTTTGACCTAAATTACCCAACTCTCAAATTTCATCAACCAGCCAAGGCTCATTTCAGCTCAAATTTCTGCAATATAAGCTTTGTAACTTCTTTGGAATTCATCTTATTTTGATCTCAGCAACCCTTTGACTTGATCTCGATAGTTGAACACTTAAACGGAGTTCCCTCTAAAGAGATCACTAAGTCGTTGAAAGACGCCGAGGGTTTCATCATACAGTGCAGTAATGGGAGAGGGTCAGTGAGGCAGGTGAGATTGCTGGTACTTAGTTGGGGCTTCTATTTGATTCCTCGTGACCTTGTTGTTGTTTGATCCAGGTCGATGTGGAGAAGCTCGCGGCTTCTCTCCCTTTGCACCTAATTGCGGTGCTTTTGTCGTCGGATACTGGAACACGGTTGGCTCATTTGCTTCGTGGTGTTCGACTTTTGCACGTGTTGTGCGATGCGGCTTCTCGCCATAACAGACTTGAGCAGGTCTCATTCTCGCCAAATCTTTAATTTCTTGTTGGCATGAGGTTTATATTTTACTTGAAAGGTTAAGAGTGTGGAATGCGGATTAGTTATGTATATCAAGCAAACTTAACACACGGGCACTTTTGTTACATGGGAAGTCCAACATAAGTCGTTAGGGAAGGCAGAGTGGATGAGGCTAAACGGGTATTCTTTAATTGCCAATGCGAAGCATGTTGGAGATTGCCGAGTGTTTAACAATTGCTTCTTGTAAAATTTAGTTTTTCATTAAGTCAATCAATTAGTTGTTAATTTCCTCGTAACGTTGTGAATGAAACTTTGAATCTTGTTCAGAACCAAACTACAGCATAATTGTTCCATAAGTTCAGGTACTCTACTAGAGTGTTAAGTAGTTGCAGATCTCACCTGGGTCAATCTTCCTTTTCCCTTCTCAAAATTGAGTCTTACTTCATTGTTTGATCTTATTTCATTGAAAAACGCTGAAACAATGACAGATATTATGTAAATATTGATGATCTTTTGATTGTCTCTTTAAACTTGGCTATACAAATTGAACTCGTATTTGCTTACTTTTGCCACTTTCACCCTTTCTATATTCTCAATGTTACATGTAAAAGTGCACGGGACCTAATCTTTTTAGTCCGTAACTGTGCTTTTAGGGTACGAAGTGTTGATTTTGATCTAAGGTTATAGCATTTTGGATCGCATTGTAGAGTGTTTTTCCTACTGTGGGTTTATATCTATATCAAATATTATAGCACTTCATCTAAAATTATATCATTTAACTTAAGTTATAGCACTTGAACTACAATATAGTCAAAGTGCTATAGAATTAGTTAAAACACTATAATCTTAGTAAAAGTGTTATACTAGTGCCACCCAAACATTTATAGTTAAGAAAAAAACCCTAAATATAAGTGATGAGAGATTTATTCGCAACAACTATTTATTAATAGCATTATCTAAAACACCATTAAGTAATGTTTATCAGTTTATGCTAGGTATGCAAGAATCATTTAACTTTTTCATAATCAGATTATTTAACAAATCATGTAAAAGTGCAACCCATCTTCAAAAGTCATAGGTTTTCCAGCTTTTCGCTTGACTTTCAGACTTATCCCATATTATTCTCACTCTCACCAAAATTTTATAGTTCCAATGATCGCCCATAAATTACAATGGGAGAGTTTTGCGATTATACTTGAACATTCCAATTAACCAAAGGCCCATGTGAGTTATTTCTGATTTGTTAAGTTACTAATTATTCATTCCTTTGGGAAATGCCTCTTGCTTCTGATTTATATACTACTACAGATCTACAATTTTGCTTTGGTAATAACCATGTCCACCTTATATATTGTAGATTTAGTGGATTGGTACTTTACCACTTACTGGCTTGTAGGTTATAGTGTACAGGGTGCAGTTTTTCCTATACATCTGACTGTTTCATTTGGTCATGTAGTATAGGATGAAATTTATTATTAATTAAGTGGAAGGGAACCGTTTTTGTAGCATGAAGTTTCTGTTTTGCAATTTCCTTAGCGGTACTGTTTTACTTGATTGGTTTATTTGAAAAATCACCCTTTGTCTTATTTCAAGTTGTAGAGAAAATGCACTGTTCAGAACAAGAATTGTAAATGAATTAGTAAGTAACTCTGTAAAAGTTTCTCTGGCATGCTGGATAGTTAGATGATAATAATGTCCAAGCATTAGGACATTCTTTTTCATGACCATAATATCCATAAAAGATTGGCCTAGTTGAGTTATCAGCAACATTATTAACTCACTGCCTTAGATACACTGACAGGACATGTTTGAGTAGTTATTGAGTTCTAGAAAATGGTGTAGTACAGTATTGTGAAACTGTTACTTTCTGCATTATTTTGAATATGGACAGTTGTATTTTTTGACTGCTTAAATAACTGATCTCAGAAGCTCAAAATTATGCGAGTAAAAATTACATGTATCCATGTATTAGTTCAGAAATTGACTGCATCAGTAGAAATGCATGTGACAAATGCTTGTTCCTTAAAGCATTCATGGCGGTTTGATTAGTACCTCTTTCCTTTTTTGCTTATAATTATGCCATGCCTCACAAAATTTTTCTAACAGTTAATTCACATATTACTTGTTTGGTGTCTATTCATTCATCTACATATTCAAAAGTCTTGTGAAGTTCTTATACTGGGCAAACTTTCTTGCGATAGGTCATCTTTAAAAACAAATAATGTCCATAATCAATTTTTTGCCTCCTTGTAGATTCTGCTAGATGACGTCAAAGTCTCAGAACAGTTGCTTGATCTTGTATTCTTCATGTTAATTGTTCTTGCACAAACTGAGCAGGTTCAGTGACCTTCGACCACTGTGGTTTTAGTAAATCTTGTTTCATTATAGGCGTAAATGGTATGTTCGTCTAACTGTTGGATACTTTATTTAGGACTATGGTCTTGGAACTTCTGTGCCTCCTTTGCATTCAGCACTTGTTGCCTGCACCTTTCATCTTTTAACAGGTTATATTTCATCACAGTGGCACGAACTTGTACATGTTCTGCTAGCACATCCTAAGGTATGTAGACACATCCTGCTCTTGTTATTCTCAAGATCTGAATTTGGTGTTTATGTGCAATCAATAGTTATTGCATTTAGTGTTTTTATTACATAGATTCATTTTGTAATCAAGGTTTGGTTATGCATTATTTAACATGTTGTACTGTACATGCCTTTTGAGGTCTGCGGGTTTTGTATTTCTTCAATTTTTATTTTGATTTATTGCATAAAAAAGAAATCTGTAGATGAAGGCTTATTGATTTACCCAGTAATGCAGAATTCTATTCTATTGGAGTTCTGTGATTGCTAGATGCGGTAGGGCTTGAGGCTAGTGAATAAGGTCCGCAATGTTATTTGACTCAGAAGCTTATATGAAAAAGAATTCCTAGAGCAAGCAACAGGGTTGTGACTAAGGAAAATCATTGACTAGGAAAAAGTCGAGCATGAAACATGGAGTGAGTTACATGTATAACTCGCAAGGCATCAGGGAATAAAATGTTACGTAAAGTAGCGTGCTATAGAACTGGAAGGTTCCTTTCTTGGCATGTTGTATAAAGTAGTGTGTTTGAGAACCTAAGTAATCTGTTGCCTATGTTATTTTCGTAATTACAATATGACATTTTATCCCTTGATGCCAAACGCGGGACTCAAGTCAAGCGAAAATTGAATGAAATAAATGTGGGAATGAAACACTTATTCACGTTCTCACATTTGGGTGCAATTAGAGAATGAAGCAAGAATGACAATCTTTTTTATTTTTGGTATTGATGATTAATGAGCAATCAGGCTATATTTGGAATTTACCTTAACTTTTTGATTCCCACTTAAGTGGCAATCACAATTCCTTAACAACTCATTAGGAATGTTAATTTTCACAAAACGTAGGAACGAGCTCTCTAGCTTCGACAAAGATGTTGTATTTGGCAGACATGAATAAGAAGTGAAATGGGCATTCCATTCCCGCTCACTTCTGCATACCAAACGAGGTGTGAATGTAGATGGGGTTCAGTAAACTTTAACAATATCTAAAAGCTATTGGCCAGAGTATAGCTTAGAAGACATCTCAAGGTTTCTTACGAAAGAGGCTCACAAGAAGTTGATGCTCTCAAAGGTAGAAATAGGTATGTGAACAGAATTTACCTCAAAAGACAAGTGTCACTGTCGTATGGTTGATAGAAAATCAAAGTTGACTTACCAATGAATAAGGAAATACTATGGTTCTTACATATGATTTATGAATTTACTCAGAAGAAATTCGTCAAGATTACGCACTTCCCCCTATTTATCCTATAATATAATATAATATAATATAATATTATATATATGTATATATATAAGATAACATAAATAAGGTACAATAATAAAGTACAGTCAGTTGGATCTGACCTATTCTTGAAATATACAACTTGCACACGCTCCTTTTCCCAAAAAAAAGAAAAAAAAAATCAATACACCAAGTACTACACTTAGATTTATTGAATTCATTGCTAAAATATCGGTATTAAGCTTAAACTCACAATATCTCATATAAGCCACAATGCTATCAAAGACACGGGGGGTCATGTGCTCTAGGATGCGGGGCTGTGTTGAAGCACCCTGTGTCTAATGTGACAACGTTTTTTGCGTCTCGCAAGTGCTTCGCACACGAGGGGGCTTCCTACAGAGCACGCATGCAGAGCGTAGCTTGTTTATTTTTGTTCTTTTAACATTTCAATCGAGTCTTTATACATGATAATCTATATCTCGAAAAGAAAAATAAACTCGTTAGTCTATTTTACTAGACCGATTGAGGAGGCTAACTTGTTCTCTTTTACTATTTGATTGTGCTTCGATAATAGTCTAGATTTCACTTTTGATTTGGAAAATTATGAACTTTGCTACTAAATTAGGTGTTAACATTTTGAATTAAGCCCTTATTTTGTTATTTTACAGTAGATATTATTTATTTAGACCTACTTATGTGAAAATTTGTAAACATGTTCTTTGATGCTTGATTATCTATCTTGAAAAATTATGTGGGGTGCGCCAATGTTTTGAAAAAGCTCTTATGAAACTCGCTTCAAAAGTCGCTTTAGAACTTTTTGAAGGGGAAATGTTTCGAAACTCTATAAAGAAGCTATTTATTCATCGAATCTTATGCCTCAACTCTTAAATCATAACTGAAGTGTGCACTTCACACTTCATAAAGCACTTCTCTTTTGAAGTGCACACTTTAGACAAAGATAGGAGGATATAAAAGGACTTTTTGACTAATATTAAAATGCCCCTATATATCTTTAATATGGCCATGTGAGTGTAAATAAGATATATAAGTTAAACATGTAGCTTACTTCATTATAATGGGCATCTATACTTTACATATTTAATTCTTATTTACAACTAAGGATTGAATGTATCTATTTTTCATTTATTATACCACTATATATTATATATTATATGTTCATACTTTTACAAATTAAAATTAAAAGACTTAAACTCATGAGGCTTACGCCTCGTGCTTTGAAGTATATGCTTCACTTCATTGAAGGGTCTACGCCTTGCGCTTCTTCTTTTTCAAACATTGGATGGTGCATCTCGCTTCACTTGGGCTCATGCATAATGCGCCTTGTGCATGTGTGCGTAAAGTGACTTTGCGCACCGCATCGTGCATTGATAACACTGGTAAGCCATTATAATTTCCATTTAGAAGGAAAACATGTTAATATGTCCTGCCATTTGTCAGGTCACTACTGGTGAGCATTCCTCTGCTACACAGTTATGTGTAGTGAAAACTGTAAGATGTTATATGGTGTGAGTTTAGTGTTCTGCTATCCTAGTAGGATGAGCAGTCAACCAAATTCGCAGTTGCGTGAGGCAAGTGATTCTCACCTAAGAAAGTGAACAAATTTGCAATTACATAAAGGTTATTATCACAGCTGCTTTGCACTTTATAATACAGAGCATTTCAATGTACAAACAATAAAAATTTAAATGCCAACAAGGAACTAACACTGTTTATGGGATGAAAGGGATGAAAGAATTCAGCCATATTCAGTTCAAGAATAAAGGTAAGTTATATGAATTGAAAAGTAAGAATAAATCAAGTGTGTTGGGTTTGTACTTCATTTCAGGTTCTTCATGTTGGAAAAGTTGACGTCTTATGCATGCGGGGAGTTCTCGGTTGACTCCTTTTGCAAAGGATGTGGTGATTTTTATAGTTTTCCTTTTTCATCGGCATAGTTATTCTGATGTTCTAGTTTTAATAATTTTCGATAGTTCGAATATGCCCTACAATTTCCTCTATTCACTTTCATGTATATAATTATTTTTCCTTATGAACTCACATTGTTAACTGCAAGCAGTACCTCAACCTTTTCTCGACTTCCATATTTCTGTTAAATTTCAACATGTTCCCATGCATTTTGTGTATTTTGAAATGGTTTTACAATATTTCCTTTTCATTTCAGGTTGATATATTTATGGATGTAGCTTTTGATGCTGTGCATGCAGACATTAGGCTTTTATGTGTCAAGCTTTCTGGACTAGATAAGGACATCCTGTGCAAAAGTTCCAGTCTCCGTGCAGCCGAAACAACAGCTAATTTTCTTTGTCAACAATGTGAAGTTTCATTACAGTTCCTGTTGTCCTTGTGCCAGCAAAAACTGTTCCGTGACCGGCTTCTCAAAAATAAGGTGCATGTATCTGGAATAATTTTTGGCCTCCATTTCCAATTCTACTCTTTTTTACTGTATGAACATTTCTATGTTATGCTATTGGAGATGCATAGTGGGGTCTGAATAAAGAAATGGATGTTTTGATGAACTTTTTTTATTCTTTTTCTTTTATTTTTTTTCTTTTTTTATCAGGAACTTTAACAAGCATAAAATCAGAGTTTAGGGTTAACAACAAGGTTTTCAGTTGAGAAAAGGTGTAGAGATGCATTATAGTATGGCGCTTAGTTGATTCAGGGTTTGCTTGGGTAATCTGCCTTTGGTTGATCACAGAATGAAGACTATTGCTTTCTGCAATTTTATAGGAATCTACAAAATGTTGGTTGAACTAAATTCAAGAAAATGTGATTTGGAACGTGGAAGATAAGAAAGGAAAGGAATCAAATGGAGACGGGTAAGATGGAGAGTTGAAACCTAAAAGGAAGAAAAAGTAGAACGGAAGAGAAGGGAGAGATAAAACCCTTAACAAGGCATAAAATATCTCATACATCAGAAACTTCTTATGAGAAGTGACCTCATTCTGACATATACATGCCAACACTAAGGAACATAGAGTAATGAGAAACTTTTGTTGAAGAAGAAAGTATGTCCATTATGGACCATTATTCTTGGATTTATGGCTCTTCTGATCATGATTTCTATGCAATTTCTGTTTAGACTGTTTCATTCACATGTTTTCTATCAAACTTCATCAGGATTATTTTCTAGCAAATTCCTATAAGCCATGCTTTAGCAAATTTTTATCCCTATCGTGTTGCTTTCTTGTGAAATTTATCTTGCTCTTTTTGTTAAATTTTTCACTAGGGTTCTTTTTATGGTCGTAGCTACATACTCACATGCAAATTTATCTAGTAAATGTTATGGAGATCTTGTTGCTTAATGTTTTCTTGCAAGTTTGTCTTTTTCCCCCTTTCTTCTTCAGAAACAAATTTCCCCTACTTCATGTTTATGTTCGTTGCTGCATACTCATGTACATCACTACACTGTGATAATATCCTTTATGATGTTACAATAAACATTATATATGGCTTTAATTGCTGGACATCATGGCAATCTGTCTAGACAATCGAAGGGTTCACAACATAGAATTGCTTTAGGAATTTTAGGAGCCTTCTTTTTAGGTTCACATCATGCCACTCAGAGAAGAACTTCTTTTAAAGGCAACAGAAAACAATCTATTTCGATCTCAAGTGTTCTTAAATCTGAATGATTTCTGTCTAAAACTGATGGCCTTTTGATTATGAAATTCGACGAATGACTTGTATCAGAATCCTATTTGACTGAAATGAAATCAAATTAAGTTCCATTTTCATAATTTAAGCCTCTTCTGATTCGTCTAGCAAAATAGCAGCTATATATTGCATGTATGGATATAGATATATACGGTCATCAAACTTATTGTTTTAGGGGGGAGGGCAGAGAAACCCTGCCCTGGTCTTTTCACTATTGCACTGGCTATATCTGGTATGCAACTCATTCTCACAAATATCTTCTGATACTTTTCAGGAAAACTGTATGATAGATGAATTGTTAAATGAAACATAATCTGGCATTATATATAGACTAATTTACCTGTAAGTGTTTGTAGAACTTTGCCTGTATTTAATTAGTAAATTGATCAAAGCTAATCATATTGCAGGAACTATGTAAAACTGGGGGCATTTTTTCACTCTGTCTCACTATACTTAAGTTAAAGACACCATCTAGTTTTACAGAATCTCTACGTATTGTGGCTGCTGTTTCCAGGCTGAAATCAAAAGTTCTGTCAATTGTAAGTTCAAAGAAACCATATTGTCCTTGTAACTGTTTTTACAACCCCTAGCCAAGTTATGATTGATATCAGTGCTACATGATGGTGTCTCTTACTGCAGTTGCTGCAGCTTTGTGAAGCAGAGAGTGTTTCTTACCTCGATGAAGTCGCTGGTTCCCCAAAGAGCATGCGTTTGGCAAAATCTGTAGCGCTACAAGTCTGTTTCCTCTTTAATGTGTAGGAAACCACATATCTCTGTTTCTTGCAATAGCTGTATTCATTTATTATCTTACTGCTACAGATCCTTGATCTACTTAATGCTGCATTCAGCAAAGTAGTGAAGCAGAGTGGAAAGTCTGTTGATCGACATCCAACGGGTCTTGTGCTTCTTAACTCATTATGTCTGGCTGATATCTACTCTGATGATTCAAATTTCCGATCATTCTTTATGACAAATGCTGTAAGTAGTAATCTGCACTCCCATTTCAATGTATTGCCATGGCAGTTTTGTGTCATGTTATCTTTGCTTTTCCCCCCTTCCAGATTCAGGTTCTTATTGAAATTTTGGGTATACCTCATGAAGAATTTCGATCTCGTTGGTGTTCTACTGATATACCAATGGAGGAAGATATTAACTTGGAATATGATCCATTTACTGCAGCTGGTGTAGCATTATTATTTCTTTCACCTGATTGTGACAGTGCTTTATCGGCACCTGTTCCTCCAAGTGAGAATAATTTTGGCTGCCACAGTAATTTCAATGGTGCAATGTCCTTACTTACTTATGCACAGCAGAAAGCCTCATATTTGGTTAAAATAATAGCAAATCTACACTGTTTTATTCCTAACATTTGTGAAGGTGATGCCTTTTTCTTTATTCTTATGCAAATACCTTTTTATTTATTCCTACTATTCTACCCATATTTTTTAATCAACTATTTCACTATAAATAGAGGAAGAGAAGAATTTATTTCTCAACAAGTTTCTTGAGTGTTTGTGCATGGAGGCATCTGAATCCTGTAGATATCCATCAAATTTTAAAGAGAAGGCTGCCACAATTTGTGAAAACCTAAGTATACTTCTCCTTTTGCTTGTGGAACTGGTGATGTAATTTATTACTTTTTTTTAACTCTTTAGAATTGTATTCATGAACATGCAGGTTCTTTGGCTGATTACACAGCATCTTTGATTCCCAGCTTACTGAATGATGAAGATGTTAATCTCTTAAGGTGATTAACAACATGCTATTTCTGGGATAATTCTGCTTTCATTTGTATTCTTTCTATATGTCTCCATTGCAAGTGCACTAAGAACGTCTTATATTTTATCTGATTTCATTTCTAATTTGAAGATCTGGTCAAAGACTCATTTGTTAGATGCTTTAGAAAATAATTTTTTGGACAACTCATTCTTGTATTAGATTTTGGTAGGATATTTTATTGTCTATCAGAGTGTGTGTTCATTACAGACCAATACATGTTTCAGCCATAAAAAGATATATTTTTATGATTTTCGCAATAGGCTAATTAGACAAGACACAATTACACTTTATACTATAGTGTGGTGCCTAGTCATGAAATGTTTAGAATGACACAAATTAGTTGATTCCTCGCAGGGTTATCTGTCCCGAGCTTTTTTTTTTGTTACTACTATTGTCATAACTTATTATTAGCGTTAGCTGTTTCCGAAACCACTTCTTTAATTTTGTGTTTTGAACTTATGGCCTAAGGAGTGGCATTCTTCCTGCTTTCACCTTGTTGCTACTGTTAGGTTATTTATTTTGATATATTTGATTCATTTGCTTTTTTTTAATGAACTGAAGTAACTTATCTTCCAGAAGTATCAGAATTTAGAAAATTTTTCAAGTATGTCACCTTTAACTTAGAAAATAATTGGCAGCAATCCAATTGGTACTTTGGGATGCATAAGAACTCAAATGTTTAATATTAATCATTCCTATTGACTTGTTAATATATGCTCAGAATGACCAGAATATGGGTAACTACTTGAGAGGGATCTCAAATAGGATAAAAAGAAAAGCAAGCAAGGATCCTTTTGTTTGGATTGAGATGTGAAGGATTGAAATGCGAAACACCCGACAGTAGCAAGTGCTTAAGAAATGAACTCTTGAAACTGAAACTAGTTCTTTGTTAGGCTTGTATGGCATCTTGTGGCAGTTTGTAAGTATACTTGTCATATATTTCTGTGTTCTTTTAAAACTTTGTCAGTGCTGAAATGTTTTACTTAAAAATTAAAGGGGGGGCACCAATTTCTCTTTCTTTGATTCTCCAATAAATCACTTTTGAAAGTTGATTAGAATAATGTTTCCTATTCTAAATTGTACAGGAGAAGGTGCATGCTTGCTTGCAAATATTTTTTTAATCATTTTATCACTGGTTCTGTTTCTTTCTGTATGATGCAATTTAAGGACTAGCATAGAAATTCACAAAGAACATCAAACGCAACCTTTCAGTACATAATGGGTACTGATATTAGTAAGTGTCAGGTGAAAGTACCTTCAGAAGAGTAAAACAATAATATTTTACTTCTCCAATAATTATTGTGCTCGTATCAGCTGATCAACTTTCTTCAATATTTTTAACTTCTCTATGGACTTGCTTCTCTTGTCGAATGATATATTCATTTTTTGGTTATTAATTTATGTTCAGACTTTTCACTGAGCAACTAAAGAAGTTAATTCCTCCACAAGTTGATGACAATTTGATTAAGGTATAAGCTTCTATTGTTATTCATGACATTGTTATGCAATGATAAAATATTGAATCTACTAGATCATTATTTGTCAATTTCTCCTTTTTTTTGCTGATCCGAATTTCTCATTCGGACCTCTGAAACTATATAACCCAAGGCTGGCTATAGTCTCATTGATGCAACTCATGCAAATGGATTCATTGTGTAGGAACCTGATGCGAGAGATGTTAAAGCTACAATAAAGAAAATTGAAAATTTGCACCCTACAAATCAGTCTTTGCCTAACTGGAGTAAACTTTCAAATCCCGATTACATCAAAATGGACCAGGTTAGTTCCTCAGCTAAACCCTCAATACAGGATGACCATCAATTGTATCATCCTCTTCCTCTTACCTTGATCATGAGTTCACTTATGATCAGTGAAGTTTTTAAGTTCTGTTTGCTTCCTAATGTATGCTGAAACTGGAAT